TTTCCTGATTCCCCAACGCTGCCTCCCCCAATTCCCCAATAAAATCTTAAAGAAAAAAAAATAGATGAGAAAAGTATTTCAATAAATTGTTGCCAAGGGGAAGCTCATATATTGCTTCCCTCCCCTATTGGTTTCCAGTTATATGGAATCCCACCATAAACAGGTCCTTTTCAACATCATTACCTGGAGCAAAGTGCTAAAGCTGTGAGTTGTTTTTTGCTGAGGATTCTTCTTTTTCGGTTACCTCTTTTCCTTCCATGTGTGTAGGAAGATACTCGTATATAGGGGATGCATGCAGACCTGCCTTGGGAAAGTCTGAGACCTAAGGCCTAGGCCAGCTCTGCTCTAGGCTTTCTGGCAAATGGACTTCTCTCTGGCTGGTTGGCGTGTTTTTCTTCCTTTGTGCCCCTTCCAGTGTTTTCGTGGCCATCAGCCTGGTAGGTAGGTATGACTCTGGAGAAGGGAACAGGAAGCCATACAATTTCCCTGGATTTATAGGGTAACTTGAAACCTAAATGTATAAATAAAAGGAGTCCTCCATGGGGACCTGTGTTAGCTCATTGGGGACTTAACTTGGAATTTGGAATTAGGGTTATTAAAGAAAAAGACTGTAAATAAGCATTTATTTCCCTTCTGTGCATAATATTTCCTTGTGGACTTCGCAGGAAAAGGGGTAGCTGTGTCAAGACAGATGAGGTCCTGTCATCTCTAAATTTTTTTTGCCTTTGGTGCAGTTGCATCTCACAAAATAGGTACAGCAGACCAAGCGAAGATATGGGGACTGGGGCGTGGGTCTGTAAGACAAAGCTGTGTATGGAGAGAGCAAAGCCCCTGTATGGGCTAGGTCTTCCGGTGTGTGGTCCTTCTGTGAAGGAAGCTACGGGCCTAGCAATGACAGCCTAGATTTAGCAACAGGATCTGGAGCTACCTGGATATGTAAAAAGCCAGGTAGTCTGTCTTAATGGCCCCAGGTTACAAAAGCAAGTTCTTTTCAAAAATGGTAATACCTTCACATTATTATTAATTGCGGTTTCTGGTGTTTGGTGCTGGAACTCATTTCTAACGCCAGAGTAAATTCACGTTAGTGAGCAAAACTCCAGGACACTGATTTTTAGCTTCTGGATTATTGGATTGGAAAGTGTTCACTTCTTTTTATTTCAGAAGAAAGTGGGCACATCTCTAAGTCTTAAGTAATTGTCACGAATATTGCACTGTTTGGCCACAATGGTGTGATGGAGGGTGTCCAGGAACAAAGCTTTATAAAGGGAATACAGTAATTCCTTGGTTTGCGAGCATAATTCGTTCCAGAAACAAACTACTCGTATTGCAAGACATCTTTTGTTTGCCAAGTTAAAATGTATTAGAAATGTTGGCTCATCTTGCAGAACACTCGCAAACCACGTTACTTGCAGTCCAAGGTTTTACTGTATACTGTCATTTGGAATTAAGGTTGGGGAAATCTCAGTAGACTCATTAAACTGCAGGACTAAAATGAAAGTGAGACCTGTGTCCAGAACACTAGCTGTAGGTATTCGTCTTGCTTGGAGGCAGGAAGACAGTGAGGAAGTGAGTAAAACTACAGCATTGGGTATGTGAGCAGAAAAGTTCTACTTGGATTTTGTAAGGGGACCACTGGGGAGAGATAAGGATTAGCTTTAAAAACAGACCATAGGGGAATTAGAAAAGGAGATTTCTAAATTGAAAATATATTGGATATTAAACAGGTGAAAGAGGCCTTTGGGAAGACTTAGGGCCTAGAGCTTCCACTCATGCAAAGCCTCTTTTATCTCTAGGACACCAAGTGTAGGGCAGAGACTTTCTGTGACTTTCTCCTGGTCCCAGACAGCCCCCAGCCCCCAGGAAGCGAGACCAGGCCATAAGGGGAAAAAAACTCCTTTCTCATAGGCCAGGCGGCCTCCTTTGTCTCTTTCCTCCTCACTGTTTTATTTGTAGTAAAACATTCTTAATTTTGAATGCTTTAAAATTATAATTAAAAAGTCTTCAAATGCACATGTTAAGATTGTGCTAAGGTAAAAATTTGCCGAGTAAATCAACCTATGAGTGCAAGAACAATGCATGAACTTTCGGTATTTAATATTTACCATAGTCAATATTGGGTACATAGAAAAAGATCAACCCAAATGAAAGACTCAACTTCAAGTTAGAAAAGAATATGGTTCACTGAATTCTTCTCCCTTCTTCCTTAAAACCATGCAGGTAATATATGCTTTGAACACTAAGAATGATGAGCATGAGTCTGCAATTCAAGCCCTCAAAGATGCTCATGAAGAAGAAATCCAACAAATTCTAGCTGAAACAAGAGAAAAAATATTGCAATATAAAAGCAAAGTAACAGAGGAGTTAGACCTTAAGCGGAAGATTCAAGTTTTAGAGGCATCATTAGAGGATCACGTGAAAATGAAGCAGCAGGCTTTGACAGAATTTGAAGCGTACAAGCACAGAGTTGAGGACATGCAGCTTTGTGCAGAAGCCCAGCACGTCCAACGCATAGTAACCATGTCTAGAGAGGTTGAAGAGATTAGAAGGAAATTCGAGGAAAGATTACGGAGTTTTGGACAACTGCAAGTACAGTTTGAAAAAGACAAGCGGTTAGCATTGGAAGACTTGCGAACTGCTCACAGACGGGAGATCCAAGAGCTGCTGAAGTCTCAGCAGGATCACAGTGTCTCTGTGAATAGGGGTCAGGAGAAGGCAGAGGAGCTGCACCGAAGGGAGGTGGAGGCCTTAAACAAAACTCTCGAGGAGCGAAGACTGGAACGGAAAAAAATAATTGAGGATTATGAAGGCAAGTTGAATAAAGCTCAGTGCTTTTATGAACGTGAGCTTGATAATTTGAAAAGATCACAGCTCTTCACAGCGGAAAGTCTACAGGTTAGCAAAGAAAAGGAAGCTGATCTTAGAAAAGAATTTCAGGGACAAGAAGCAGCTTTACGAAAAACCATCGGGAAATTAAAGACAGAATTGCAGATGGTCCAGGATGAAGCTGCAAGTCTTCGTGACAAATGCCAAAATCTTCAGGTAGCACTTGCCACGGTGGAGAACAATGTTCAGGTGAGTGAAGAATATTTTATCCAACACATGGATTTTTTTTCCAGTTTTCTCTTTTCCTTTTCAATTAGACCACTTTAACTTTTTTTTCATATTTTGTTTTTTTTTCTACTTTTCCTTTGTGAAAAAATCAATGAAGGGTTAATTTTTGCTATTCTGTAGTTATCACTATTTCCACTAGAATTTCAGGGCNATTGATAATTAACAAACATTCCTTTAATGTTTTGTTTCCATTTTCATTGTTTTTCTAAAGCTAAGGCATTTTGGTATTGATTCATTCTTTTAGCACTGTTAATGTTAATCTTTTAAGAGAGTTTAATGTTTGCTGATAATAACAGTAACATACATTTATTATAGAAGGTTTAGAAATACTGAATATCTAAAATTTGATATATTTTTTACCTTTAAATATGTATCTGCACACACATACACACTCACTTTTTTCCCTCTGTAAGATTGGATTTTATCGTATATAACATTGTGTATTTGCCTTATATTACAAGCTTTTTCTTATGAGATATTCTTCTAAATGAGGTGTGCTTTTTAAATTCTTGACATTACCTTAGCAGTGTTAAACCTGTTGGTATAATATGTAATAGAGGTCCACTTAAAATGTTTTAAGCTAATTTAACACATACTTTTCAGTGATGGTACTTTATACTAATGAGTTAGATCTTAGTGGAGATACACACACACACACATACACACACACACACACACACACACACACCCCTATTCAGTGTATTCATCAACTTGGTCTACCGTAACAAAATACTATAGATATTTTCATTGTGCCCTCCTCACATGGCAGAGAGAGGGGGGGAAGCTCTGGTGTCTCTCCTTATAAATGTACTAACCCTGTCTCAAGGGCCCCACCTTTGTGACCTTGCCTAAACTTAATTACCTCCCAAAGACCCCATCTCCAACTACCATCATGTTGGGGATTAGGGCTTCAGCATATGTATTTTGTTGGAGGGTGTTGGAGGGACAGGACACGATTCAGTCCATAGCAGCCAACGTTGAGAACTATTTCAGAAACTTTGTTTTTACCTAAGTGGAATTTTTAAAACTAGGATCTAGAATTGTTCTCATCTTATCTGAGTAAGAGTATCTGAAAATTTTCATAGACAAAGTAAAAATTACTCCCTATTGTGTATTCATCTTGGAATAGATAGCTAAATTGTGTGTTATTGGAATAAAGTGAAACTGTGAAATTGATGAAATGACTATACTATCCCATTCCATGAATGTTCATAGTTCCAGAAAAACTGCAAATGGCTCTTAGTGTCTTTTACAACAGTTATGAAAAGAGACATTAGAGAGTTTTCTTTTCCTATGTGGAAAATAATTAACAATTTTTATGAATGATTATGATTATTTACTGAACTTCCTTTGAAAATATCTCATTCTCTCCATAAATAAATGATACAACTGATAAGGAAGCTTTACAACCTTGAACTGCTTTATATTTTTCAAAAAATCTTTATATAATGTTATTCTAAAAATGTCAAAGGTAGGTTAATCTTATAACAACGATGTCACTAGGGTAGAATAAATATCATCTTCATTTAACGCTGAGAAATTTGAAGCTTGGAGAAACCATTTTACCAGTTTGAAATCCATTTTGGGTCAGTTTTGCTACCTCAAGTCATATCTTCTGTGTGTTCAAAGCACATAGAACATTGATATTACCTTGGACTGAGAAATAGGTTTAGTACTCTGCAGTTTTAGGCATTCACCAGGGGGTCTTGAATGTATTTCCTGTGGCTAAGGGGGAGCTACTGTGCATAATGAATGGGCACAGCAGTGCTTGGCAACTTTATTTCAAAGACAAGCAGCAGCTATATTTTGCCTACAGGCTGTAGTTTGCTGACCCCTGGATTAGAAATATAAAATGAAATAGAGCTCTTCACTATAAGATTTCCCTATTATTTGTCAGATGTTCTGTTTACTTTTCTTAAAGTCTATTCTTTCTAACTTCATGCTGTAATTCCTACCTCTGTCCCTTTCAGTTTCACCTTTTATTCACACTTTTGTGTGCTGCTGTGCTTTTGTATCTTTAGCTACTTTTCCAGGCTCTCTTAACATCCTCACACTGCTTTCCAACCTGTTGTCCGGATGTCCCAAATGTAATCATTTCATTCTAACATTTATTGAGCTTCAGAAATGAGTGCTGGTGAGGAAATGGAAGAGCTGGACATAAATAAAAGGTAGACTCCTGTGGATTTGTGTGGCCTTGCAAGACTTATTAAAGGAGCAGGACTTGGACTGACTCTTCAAAGTCTGGAGAGAAATGAAATATCAATAGATAAAAGATAAAAGAGGGCCGGCCGAATGGCTCGTTGGTTAAGAGTTGGCTTGGGAGCGTGAGCTCTGAGCATCAGGACTGTTGGTTTGGATCCCACATGGGCCAGTGATGCTGCACCCTCTACAGCTAAGATGGTGAACAACAGCTCAACCTGGAGCTGCGCTGCCCTGAGTTGCGAGCAAAGGCGT